ATAAATACCAAATACAGAAGTAAATATATTAAAATTAATAAAATTATTATTTTTTTAAATAAAATGTGAAACATTAATTAAAAATTATTATATGGAGGTCGTGAGATGCGATCTGGTGTGACGTAGGTTTTAGAAAAACATTTTCTTTGTCGTGCCAACGTTTCGATCTTTATTGAGATCATCTTCAGGGCCTAGGAATTATAAACATTGTTTAAATTTTACAAATATATGTGGGATGTGAAAAAATGAATTTATACAATGCTAGAAAATTTTAGATTAAAAAAAATGAATTTATACAATGCTAGAAAATTTTAGATTAAAAAATGAATTTATACAATGCTAGAAAATTTTAGATTAAAAAAAATAAATTTATACAATGCTAGAAATTTTAGATAACAATTAATTAATTAATAAGTAAATGAATAAGTAAAATGGATTTATACAATGCTAGAAAAAAATTTTAGATAAAAAAAACATTAATTTATACAATGCTAGAAAAGTTTAGATTAAATTTTTTTTAAAATTTTCTAGCATTGTGTAAATTCATTTTTTTAATATAAAATTTTTTTCTAGCATTGTATAAATTCATTTTTTTAATCTAAAATTTTCTAGCATTGTATAAATTCATTTCATTTATTTATTTACTTATTTATTTATATTTTTTATCTAAAATTTCCTAGCATTATATAAATTTACTTTTCCACATCCCACATGTATTTGTATACTCAAATAAATAAATAAAATAAATTTATACAATGCTAGGAAAAAAATAGATTAAAAAAATTTCTAGCATTGTATAAATAATTTTTTTTAATCTAAAATTTTCTAGCATTGTATAAATTCATTTTATTATTTATTTACTTATTTATTTATATTTTTCATCTAAAATTTCTAGCATTGTATAAATTCACTTTTCCACATACCACATGTATTTGTATACTCAAATAAATGAATAAAATGAATTTATACAATGCTAGAAAATTTTAGATTGAAAAAAAATTAATTTGTACAATGCTAGAAAAAATTTTTAGATTAAAAAAAAGAATTTATACAATTCTAGAAATTGTAGATAAAAAAAACACCTAAAACCCTTTTTTTCCACATCCTACATGTATTTGTAAAATTTATACAATGTTATAAATCCGAGGCCCTGAAGATGATGTAAATATAGATTGAAACGTTTGCACGATAAAGAAAATGTTTTTCTAAACCAAAATCACACTAGACCGCATCTCACGATCTCCATATAATCATTAACTAACGGTCACTAAACACCACACATTAATTAAAACTAAATTCATCCTCTAAAAAGTTCTATTTCTGTATACATTTTTTTACCGTACTGCTTTGACTATCAATTATTTATGAGATAACATCTCAGAGGGACCGTTTAACATTCATTTCATACAAATAGGCGACGTGGGAGCCTAACCGAATCCCCTTTGTTGTCAGACCAGTTGAACCAGTAAACAAAAGGCGTCAAGTGCTGTTTTAACTTTTATAGGCAAGACGATCAAGATTAAACATCTCCGCGATACTTTGTACGAAAAGTCTCTCGAACTTTTAAGCGGTGAAAGCTGTACGAAAGATTTTGAAAATTAGCTAGTAGCACTGTTGCAATTAATGGACAATAGTCGTTCCCAAACGTTGTGGCAATGGGGATTTTTTTTTCAAAAGAGAAAGACGTCTTGTTTGAAAAATCAATCCATCTAAAAGTGCAAATAGTTGAGCCAGCTTAATTTTAATTTCTCAAACAACGATCTAAATCATAGATGATAGGTCCGAGGCCCGGACGTGGTTTAAAGTTGAGTAATAATAAACTTTACAGACTTTCCAATCACTACGGGTTTATTTCAATCGATAATCGACTTGTCAATAAGGATTGTGCAAAAAGAATGTTGATACTTCCTCGTTGCCGAAGTTAGTTGGGCAAAAATAACTAAAACAATGCCTTATGTAAGAGGATCCTCTGCGGTTACCATAACAGAGAAACCTGACACCACTTGAAATCCAAAACAGTGGCTTTTATGGAGTCAGACTAGCTTGTAAATGAGCTAACAGAGAAAAAATACACGTAAAAATTACAAACTAAAATCCCAATGTTTCAAATCATGCCAAGCCATCGACAAATTTGTTTAGTCTGTGTAGTATGTGTAGGTGTTGTAACTAAACAAAAATAGCTAGACATTCTCCCCCTGAATGAAAAGAAAAGAGAATTAAATATTTATTGGTCAAGAGACAGATCATGGTACTTGATGTTATGGTATGGTACGGTGATAAGGATACTAGGAAGAGTTGGCTTGTACTTCCCAGGCACTGCAGCCTTCTGTCTTATTGTACCTTCCTAGTTCCTTAGTTCAGTGCAATAGACTCTATTCTTCTCCTTAAATGTATCTGGTCATTGACTGTCGCTGTTACAATTTCATTTCCTAAGTTTTTTTGTATGTTAGGTTAAATCTCCATTGAGCTGTTGCTTCGCATTCGAAGATGATTTGGGTGGCTGTTTCCTCCTCCTCATTACATAATCTGCAGATAAGATCATCGTTGTATATGCCCATCATGCATCATGCGTTGTGTAGATGTTTTCTCAGATGCCAGTGACCGAGTAGTCCTCTGTGTTTAACCATAGTGCCAGCGTGTTGCAGCAGTGATTTTGCCAGTCTTGGTGAGGGTGGTTTCATCATAAGTTTACTATGTCTAGCACCGCTAGAGTTTATTTACTTCTCCTTTTGTTTTGTTTGGATACATTGTGCCATGGAGTATTCTGTATTTGTTTTTGTTATCCGAAGTATAGGTTCGGGGCCTATGTATTGTCTTGCGGATCCTCCTCCGAATAGTCTGTCTGCTTTCTCGTTACCCAAAATTCCTCAGTGCTCAGGCACCCAATATATCATCAGGTTGTTGTTTCCCCAGATTTTGGAGTTTTTCGATGTTATTCACTGACTAATTTTGATGTGATTCTTTTACCTGCTAATACTTTAATGGCTGCATGGCTAACAGTTCTTATGAGGATTTTTTGGCCAGTGTAACCTTTTCTAGGGCACAAGCGTAGATGACATGTATTTCCGCTTGAAAGACCGAAGAGTTTGATTGCTCATGTGCTCATGCCCAAAAGCTTAAGTAGAAGATGCCCGATCCGGTTCCTTCGTTTGTTTTGGAGCCATCTGTATACCATATCATTGTATCTGATGCTCTCCTGTGTTCTTCCTCTCCTTTATAGTCCATTGAGACTTTGTAGAATGTTGTAAAGAATGTTTCCGGGTTCCTATAGTCAGTCCCCATTTCTGGGGTTTCTGATTTTTTTAATTACAGTTGTATGCCAGAATTGTCTAATTTCTATCCAATTTAATTGTTTTTAGAGCCTAAATGAGCTTTTCCCAGCCTCTCCTTGTGTAAATATTTCCAGTGGAGGTAGGTTTAGCAGAATTTCTATAATGCACTTGTAGGAGTTGATTTCATTGCCCCTGTGATACATAGGTTTGCTAGTCTTAATGTGCTGCCTACTGTTTTAGTGGCTCTTTTTTGTTGAGCTTTGGTCCACCAGATTAATGATATGTAGATATGATATAATTGTATCTCACTGAACCTCACCTGGCTGTGTTTGGCTGTCAAAACAAACAAATCATTGTATATTTGCTTCTTCCATTTTGAGACAAGACTGGCCAACAATTTAAAGACGAGGCAAAACGTTGAAGTAAATTAAAAATAGGGATGGTCCAAAGGTACAACCCTGCGGTATACCAGCCGGGTCGGGCTCTTTTAGAATTTCTTGGATAAGTAGGAGTGTTTTGAGCGAAGATGAAGTATATGGGAGCTTGGATAATTGTTTTTAGGTATGTATGGTATGGTATGGTGGAAGGGATGCCGGGAAGCGGGGCTTGTATTCCCCAGGCACTGCAGCATTCTGGCTTATTGTACCTTCCCAGTTCCCTAGTTTAGTCAATAGACTCAATCCTTCTTCTCAGAAGTATCAGGTCATTGACTGTGATTGTTTTTAGGACTTTTGATGTAAATGTTTGAATGGGTTGGATATTGTTTGGCTTCGTGGTACCCCACAGTGCTCCATATGACTAGGTGGTCGCAGTATTGACTTAAATAAAGTTAGTTGTGATCGTTTGGTTCTATAAGTTTTCTGTTAAGTTGTCGTTTAAGTCCTGTAAGATTCCACGTCTAGGTATGTTCCTAAGTATCTAACGTGAGTAGTCGTTTACTCCTTGACTTTGATCAATTAGGGTTTTGAAGACGGTGTGATCCGCAGTGGAGGAAGTGGAATAGGTTTTTGTCTTACGTGTGTTGTTCGTGTAACATGTCATGATGAGACGTAAAGATTTGTTTAAAAAAAAATCAATAAAATAGTGTAAAACAGAGTTGCAGAGTACCACGTAGGCCAACCGATGCGAGACGAGCACCTTGTGATTTTGCCTGACTGGTCTTTTAATCCTTGGGTTTTTACCTACAAGACTCTTTTTCACGATGATATTTCAAATTCCGGACGACGAGAAGAAGAACTTTTCACCTCTTTTCAAGTGATCTGTTGTAAGAACTATAGGGGGTCAACCATGTAATCTGATAATGTTAGAACTCTTTATACCCATACCTGTACCAGTTTTCATTTCAGTGCCATCTGTACACCATAAAAGAGATTCTTAAACCTTATAAAATATTGAAAAAATTGATAGTCATGCCGTTAGTATAGGCTCTAAATGTGATAAAAATGAATCGCACTTAGAAAGAGGTTATGTGTTATGAGACCATTTCATTTTCATTATTACGAAAGCAATGCCGGATAATTGGCCAGAAGGATTTTATCACAATATGCTTCGGTCAAATTGAGCCTGTCTGACTTTCACGTACTTATGATATCCAGCTTTCCTACCAAGTCCCTTTCACACGTCCTATTGCGATTTAGGCTGGAAAAGACATCCTTGATCCTTTGCAATTCTTGTCATGGGAAAAAAATGAAATAGTTGAAAAGTTATTTATACGTTCTTTTTCTACAGGTTCCTGAGGTGACTGACGAACTTCCCCCGGACATCGTCCTACCGAGGGGCAACTCGGAGCCCGTTCCCAAATACCACGGCACGTCAAGAAGTGAGTACTTGGTTAAAATGTAAAACTATTTTTTTGACTACTTAAGCAAAGTCGTTACGACATTTGAAGCATTTACCTGATACTTGCTGCCCGCTCAAGCTCATATCCGGTTGCAGTTTGATTTCCAATTCCTTCAGCTTCGAATGTAAGTCCCTTGTGTGTAGGAACAAGAAGAAAGTCGTGAAGACGGCCATCAGTGCGACAAGCTCGCTCGTCCTAAAATCAATAAATTAATAGTTAATTAACAGTACAGGTCATCCATTCTTAAACTAAAAACACAGTCATTTTTAATTTCTCTTTATTTTTAACTGCTTGAACCGCGCCGGATTTATGGCATTCCAGGCTTTGTAATTGCACCCTAATTAAATTATATATTTCCGGATAGTCTTTGATTTTTTGGCCCTGATAGTCTCGCTGTATGTTTTCCCATAATGAACCTTCCTATTATATTTAATTTATATGTTTTTTTATTTACTGGTCAGATCCTTCACGAGTAAGCATCGTAACAATAAATTTTTTTATAAATAACACTTTGTAAAACAAATCAATATTTATTATAGCAACCTTGTTTTATAACAGATTGATAATTAACGATTTATTTATTCAATTATTAAAGGAAGATGCATTTTTTTCAATTTGATAATACAGGGTGCCCTTTTTAGTATAAAAAATACGTGTTAATAATCTAGTTTTAAATTTTTACCTTTTTTTGGAGAAAAGTTTCACAGGGCACCTTAGTCCCAGTTCATCTTCAAAATTTGAAAGACGACCCCATTTTGTCATTTTTTGACTAATTTAAAATCCGATTTAAATCAATTGTTTTTAGCGTAAAAAATCCTTTAGAATGATGTGTCAGATTGTACGGGGTCGTATTTGAAATTTTGAAGTTGAACTGGCCTGAGGTACCCTGTCTCTCCAAAAAAGGTAAAAATTTGAAACTGAACTAAAAAATATTACACGCGTATTTTTTTTATAGCGTCATTGATTCAAGAGATTTTCAGCCTGGCCATCTAAAAAAATGACACCGTGTATACTATTCAGAGATTTGATTTTACTGGGTCTGACGGTTTTCGCTGGTTGTGTCATCTTCACCTCCCTGTTTTATGTAAGTTCTAATTTATTTACTTCTTGTTGCATTGAAAGTCTGTCGAACCTGTTTGACCACGATATCAAGACTTGCAATCCTCCATTATTATTTATGAACTTTGGAAAAGAAATCTCGTCAGATATTACACTGTTTATTTCAAATACTTTACTATTTTATCTCTACGGTCGGTTTAAACAAAGAAAACAAGTTGTTGTTAACCTTACTTTTCACAAAGTTTTAGTAGCTCGGGGTTATGTAAAACTGTAACTTTCTTCATTATACGGAACGATATTAGAAACTTACTGAACATATGAGAGGTTTAAATATGACAGGTTATGTAAAACTCTAACCTTTTCAGTTGTGCAGTAGGTCGCAGCTTATTTAAAAGTATTAAAAAATATCCGGTCCGATAATAGGCTGTATAGTTTCAGTACTTTATTGGGTTTACTCTAAGGATGAATAGTACAATAAAACAGTCTAACCTAACTTTTCTTACTCTTCAGGAGGTTACGATAAAACTGGTTATATAACACTGTAATTTCATTATACGGAAGGATATTAGAACCTTACTAAAGATATGAGAGGTTTAAGTATGACAGGTTATGTAAAACTTTAACCTTTTCAGTTGTGCAGTAGGTCGCAGCTTATTTAAAAGTATTAAACAAAAATCCGATCCGATATTAAGCTGTATAGTTTCAATACTTTATTGGGTTTACTCTAAGGATGAATAATACAATAAAACAGTCTAACCTAACTTTTCTTACTCTTCAGGAGGTTACCATAAAACTGGTTATGTAACACTGTAACTTCATTATACGGAAGGATATTAGAACCTTACTAAAGATATGAGAGGTTTAAGTATGACAGGTTATGTAAAACTCTAACCTTTCCAGTTGTGCAGTAGGTCGCAGCTTATTTAAAAGTATTAAACAAAAATCCGATCCGATATTAAGCTGTATAGTTTCAATACTTTATTGGGTTTACTCTAAGGATGAATAATACAATAAAACAGTCTAACCTAACTTTTCTTACACATCAGGAGGTTACGATAAAACTGGTTATGCAAAACTTTAACATTTTCTGTTGTACAGTAGGTCACAGCTTATTTAAAAGTTACGTATTTAAAAAAAATATGGTCCGATATTAGGCTGGATATTCGATGTATGTTTGATATATATATATATATATATATATATATATATATGTGATATATTTATTTCCAATAGAGTCTAACCTAACCTTTCTTACCCTTCAGGAGGTTACAAACTGGTTATGTAAGCTGTAACTTTCTTCATTATACGGTAGAATATTAGAACCTTACTTATTTGAGCATTACATGGATATTTTTGCCAAAACTAAATGAGTTTTCCATTGAAAAAATATGGACAAATGTGTGCACTGTTAAAAGAGAGTTGTACTGTTAGGTAAGCGATCTGTTCAGATTGGAAAATTTTTTTAAAGAAATTATATGAAAAAAACAAAACATTACCCAATTACAGAAAATAGGTAGAAAGTCAAATAAATACGTGACTGCGAGTCATTTATATATTATCTAAGAAAATAATATTTTGTCATTGAGCTGTCTCACTTTCTTCAAATTTTGGAATGTCTTCAGAATTGAGGTTTTTTTGTTACTTGGCTTATTATTATTTAAGCGGGTAATCTTGATTCTTCGAGGCGAATCGTTATAATCAGGTAATTACCAAAATAGAAATCCGTGGATTTTTTTAATAATATTTTACAGACGTTTTGTTGACGGACTCTTTCACCTGCCAGAAGTTGCCTTTGTATTCGTAAAGTCGAAATCCGTTACCGAGAGGTCCGTCTGATGAGGTGGGGTGGTGTTTCGTGCTCCAGCAGGTGTAATTTTTCCAGTGATTCGTGACACGCTGCTCGATCGCTTAACGCACCGCCTTCCTCTCGGATCCACTAATTTCAAGTTTGACCACGGCCAATTTTCAACGTGGAACGTTAATTTTTACGCTATGACACAGTTTTTCTTGATTTTTGTACTTTTTCCTTTCATTAGTTCAGAATGGGATGAGTTGTTCTGCAAGTTCCATTTATACTATATGTCACAGGGAAATGTCTCAATGTCAGGGATATAAGCAGGGAGAGGCAAAAAGTCTCATTTATTCAACACCAAATGATATCTTTGTCCAGGGGTTGTATTTGCTTATTAAACTTATAAAACTTTTATCTTTTACCACGTCAAATTTTGTCAAGGAAAATTTTTTCCCCAGAATCTGTTCTTTTCAACAGAAAAGGTTTCTGGTTTATTATATATAATATATATTCTGTATAAATCTTAATATAAATTTCCTAGTCTATCAAGTTGAAGTCCGGCCTTCTGAATCAAGCACGAAGTCCAAATCATATTTTTAAAACGACATTGGCAAAATTACGGTTGAACTGGTCGTTATCGGTATCTGGTTTGCGTCAGGGTTATAAGCAGGGAGTGGCGAGACGTTGATTCCTTCATTTTCACGAATTGTGAAATTAAACCCTTTCATTGATCTTGACAGGCCAATTGTTAAACCATTTCTTATTGAGATAATAAAATTACATTGCAGGGCCGCTGGATTCGAACTCGGGACCTTTACCTTACGCCTAAACCGTTGCGGCCAACGATGCTCCTTAAAACTTTTTATGTATTATGTATCAAGCTATTTATAAAGTCCCGGCTTTATGAATCAAGCTGCAAGTCCAAAACACTTTCGTATTTTCAACAAAAGCATGAAATTTCATGCTAAATCTATTGTCGAGCCATTTGTATGAGACACTAAAGACTAAATAGTTCAAAACAAGAACAAATGCCGCGAGGTCGGGTCATAAGCAGGGAGAGGCAAAGATGCGACTCCTTAATTTTCATGGCTTTTATGAAAATATCCTTCAATATTAAGCCAAACTCTAAACATTCAATTATTCAACTACTTTGGAAGGTGAAATTGTGTCAGGATATAAGCAGGGAGAGGCAACGACGTGATTTTTTAATTTTTGTGGATTTCCGACAGGAAATGAAAAAATGGTTCAAGTTTAACACTAAATGCAAGGATGAAACTCAGCCTTTTATAAAATTTATTAGATGTGAGTTGAGACATGGTTATAATGCTAAGACATGTAATATTTCAAAACCTTTTGAAGATGGAGGTTTGTGAGGGTTATAAGAAGGGAGAGGCAAAGGGAGGGATTTATTAATTTCTGTAGATTTCCGACAACAAATGATAAAATCGTTCAAGTTTATCACCAAATGCAAGCATGAAACTCAGCCTTTTATAAAGTTGGCAAAATTGAGTTGCGTCAGGGTTATAAGCAGGGAGAGGCAAAGTCGTTATATTTTAATTTCTGTGGATTGCTGACAATAAATGATAAAAACATTCAATTAATTAAGGTTTTAAGTTGAGATAAAAAAGTCAGTGTCACGAGCGGGATTCGAACCCACGACCTTCGGCATGATACGCCGCTACTCTACCACTTGAGCTATCGTGACTTCAAAGTTTGGTATCTTTTGTGAAGAATTGTGTTTACCCAATAAATAAAAACTGTTATATTCAGCTGTTACAATTGCAACACTTTGCACGGGAACGTACACAGTTTGGCAAAACGTTACTCACCCAATCGTAACTATCGCATAATAGCGTATTACATATTACATTTTCCCTCTCGTGAATAAAAACCCTTCTATTTGATTTAGTCGAGATTGAGCGTTACAATTAGATCATCTCCTTATGAAATTGTGTTTGCTCTATCTGTCACGAATTTCGATTGCCCAACGAGGATATGTCACAGGCGATGTCATGACTCCCACTTCAGACGTCCACGAGCTCCCGAACTACGTGATCCCGTCCTGTGCAACCGTCCGTGACTGGTCGATTTATTTATTCTTTTTCGAAAGAAAACTATGATTTTTTATCTTTCGGCCGCATGTGCGGATTCGAAGAATCGGCGGACAGGTGAAAGTACGCTCCGTGAACTGTCTGGGATGACGGGACAATCGGGAGGATTCTTCGGGCTAACCCGTGACGGAGAGGATACCTCCGAAGAATGCTGGCCATTGATCCAAGTATAAGTTCATATCTTTTTTGTGTTTAATTTCTTTACATGACTCCAGGATAAACCCAAGTGGTTC